TACATCAGGCAAGACGTCACCGTAACCTTTACATCAGGCAAGACGTCACCGTAACCTTTACATCAGGCAAGACGTCACCGTAACCTTTACATCAGGCAAGACGTCACTGTTTTTACTGTTATCTAATTCAAATCGTAAAGGGTGTTGACCGTTCTGAAATTTTACTATGCCAGTTCCGTTGAACGAAAAAGAAAAGAAAAGAAATGACATGGATTTATTTATCCAATCTGGTTAAAACACGGATCCTGTTTCGTTTCGTTTTTTATAGTTCAAAATTTCGTTTTACTTGTCTTTACTACACTATTGTAGGCCATGGAAAGTATAAAAAAAAAACGAAACGAAATGTAAATCTGTATTTTAATCAGATTGTTATTTATCATATACAGGCTGGTGATTATGAGCATACGTCATGAATACGGACATACGTCATGCATACGAGCATACGTCATGAATACGGGCATACGTCATGAAGAGTGCTACGTATACGTGTACTGATAGAAGGTATATCATTCAATTTTATAATACAGAAAGGGATTATAATTTGACAGTTTCTTTTTTTTTAAAAAAAAGAAGAAATATGTCACTAATAGTAACATAATTTTTATATCTTTACTAGCAGGATACCCGGCTTCGCTCGGGGGTCATAACTCCGAAACCGGAAGTGGTAGACTAACGCCACCTGGCCTATGTTACTCCGCGGTCCGAGCTACCCCTATACCCCAAATTTCAGACTCGGGGCAGACCTTGTGTAGCCGCCAACCAAGAACAGACCGGCTTCGCTCGGGGGTCATAACTCCGAAACCGGAAGTGGTAGACTAACGCCACCTGGCCTATATTACTCCCCGGCCCGAGCTACCCCTATACCCCAAATTTCAGACTCGGGGCAGACCTAGTGTAGCCGCCAACCCCGAACAGACAGACTTGCTCGGGGGGTCATAACTCCGAAACCGGAAGTGGTAGACTAACGCCACCTGGCCTATGTTACTCCCTGGTCCGAGCTACCCCTATACCCCAAATTTCAGAGTCGGAGCAGACCTTGTGTAGCCGCCTACCCCGAACAGACCGGCTTCGCTCGGGGTCATAACTCCGAAACCGGAAGTGGTAGACTAACGCCACCTGGCCTATATTACTCCCCGGTCCGAGCTACCCCTATACCCCAAATTTCAGACTCGGGGCAGACCTAGTGTAGCCGCCAACCCCGAACAGACAGACTTCGCTCGGGGGTCATAACTCCGAAACCGGAAGTGGTAGACTAACGCCAGCTGGTCTATGTTACTCCCCGGTCCGAGCTACCCCTATACCCCAAATTTCAGAGTCGGAGCAGACTTTGTGTAGCCGCCATCCCCGAACAGACCGGCGTCGCTCGGGGGTCGTAACTCCGAAACCGGAAGTGGTAGACTAACGCCACCTGGCCTATGTTACTCCCGGGTCCGAGCTTCCCCTATACCCCAAATTTCAGACTCGGGGCAGATGTAGCCGCCAACCCCGAACAAACAGACTTCGCTCGGGGGTCATAACTCCGAAACCGGAAGTGGTAGACTAACGCCACCTGGCCTATGTTACTCCCCGGTCCGAGCTACCCCTATACCCCAAATTTCAGACTCGGGGCAGACCTAGTGTAGCCGCCAACCCCGAACAGACCGGCTTCGCTCGGGGGTCATAACTCCGAAACCAAAAGTGGTAGACTAACACCACCTGGCCTATGTTACTCCCCGGTCCGAGCTACCCCAATACCCCAAATTTCAGACTCGGGGCAGACCTAGTGTAGCCGTCAACCCCGAACAGACAGACAGACAGACAGACAAACGACAGTCACAAATATATATATAATAATATATAGATAGATATCTTTAAATTTAATATAGCTGTCATTACTTAATACATGCATTACTCTAATATAAACTGCCACAGAGAAGGGATTATAATTTGACACTTTCTTTTTTTTAAAAAAAGAGGAAATATGTCACTAATAGTAACATAATTTTATATCTTTATATCTTTAAATTTAATATAGCTGTCGTTACTTAATACATGCATTACTCTGATAATATAAACTGCCATAAAGTATTTATGCGCCACATAAACTGAGTATTATTATTATTATTATTTCCCCTCATTTCAAACTGTATTGGCGTATGATCATCTTCTGCAGGTGACGAAAAGTAGGAGGGAGGGTGTCATAAGGTCTGTGATTAAGTCAACTGTCGTGGTTTCAATTCCCCGGTTGTACGTGGCAAGGAATAGGGTCGCTTGTCGAACCTCGTAGGTTTTCTCTGGGTCAGTCGGTTTCCTCCTACTGCTAAAGACTCCTACACACAAGCAAATTATTGAAAAAAATTAACTATATGTTAGTCCCAAAATGACCTAGTTTGTGTCGAGTGGACGTTAAACTCTCTCTCTCTCTCTCCCTCTCTCTCTCTCTCTCTCTCTCTCTCTCAGACACGCAAACAATGCACATTTGAGAACACTGCGCGTGTATGTTACACGTCGATTAAAAACCTACATGTAGAAAGCATTCAGCCATATTTTATCTCTGTGTTGAACCTATGTATTTAAGTACTAACATATTTTCTATAGATTGACTGACAATTATTTTATAGTTGTAGATAAACACAAGAGACAGCCCATGTAATATTGTATACAACATACGTCAACCATACTGACTAATGGTCTATTATACAGCCAGAACACAAGGGGTTGAATACATGTTGTATGGTGGGGTGTACAATAAATGACGTTAGTAAGAATAAAAACTCTATAAAGAAACTCATTTTATTACAAAATAATATAAATACTCCAATGACAGTATTTCAATAGAGCCTCGACTGACGCTATAAGGTGAAATCATTCGTTTTTTATCGCCGTTCACTGAACAGAAAGAGTTATTTTTAAATATGTTACGCGTAAGAAATTTGAGTCGCCTGTCCAAATCTCGTGGGTTTTCACAGTGTCCTCCGGTTTCCTCCCACTGCTAAAGATCTCTACGCGCAAGCTAATTATTGAAATAAAATTGAAACCATGTGTTAGTCCCGACATGAACAAGTTTGTGTCGAGTGGACGTTAAACCCCATCCCTCTCTCTCCCCCCTCTCTCTCTCCCTCTCTCTCTCTCTCCCCTCCCCTCCCTTTCCCCCCCTCTCTCTCTCTCTCTCTGAAAAAATTAATTTAATTTCTCACAGTTCTGCACCAACCAATGAAATGGGGTTTGACGTCCTATTTTTTGTCACTGGCTGGGCTAGCTAAAGAAGATGTACATACGCCAATTCAGTGTGATATGAGGGGAAATTTTCCCCTACAACGTTTCCCATTTCTGTTTTGTTTTTTTATCCAATTACAAATGTCAATAGAGCTTTTACGTGCATGCGATCGTTTTTCTTCCCATCCGTATCTAGATTAAAACAACCCCCCCCCCCCCCCGTGTGTGAGACAGTATGATACTCACGGACATATGGTAGCTAAACTACACAGTGTACCTAAAATCATTTTGGGCAGGTCTTGGCTCAGATTAAAGGAGCTAATTCGATATTATTTGGACCTAGAAACTGACACAAATGGGTCAGAACGCATATAATAATGTAATATGAATGTATATCAATTGATTTACATTCATCGTTTCTGTTTTTACTGTAATTTTTAAACATGCATTATGCAAGAGCCAAATCTGTCTATCGCAGGTCTTTCTTTAGGCCTGAAATCTTATCTAAATTATTAATTAGACATTAATTAACTTATCCAGACCATAATCAACTCTCGATGTCAAGGTTAGCCTTCGATATCGACTGGATTAGAATCCTACATGCTGCAAACGCTCATTGATAATTAAATCAAAACGATGGATTAACGAGACTATGCTTTTTAACGTACTAACTTTAGTAATGATGAACGAGGCTAGGTGGAAATTTACAAACCTGATATCTCGGTTCATAGTGGACCAATTTGACTGAAATTTTCAACAAATTACCTTTACATTATCTAGTTTTTAACTATTAAAGCGAGAACTGTCAGCTCTTTATCTAATCTCCCATAATGTATCTTTAATGAGTTATGTTCAGTGAAATATGCCAGAAGTCTCAACCGAATGGTAATCTCTAGCGTCTGGTTATTCCTGATAAGAATATGTCGTCACCGTTTAATGACTTGTGGAATATGTCTAACTTCGTTCTTCGATTCTCTAGTTACAAATGGCGCTGGAACGCATTCTGGTACATGATTCGTGTACCAATGGTAAAATGTTTATTTTGTCTTAAATATTGAATATCAGAAGCCCATCTTTTACCGGTAAGATCATAACATTAGTGTTGATTTAAATTGACAAATAATTTGTGTTTTCAATGAGGAAGACTTTGGATGATATTCAGTTAGAGACTGAATTTAAAACGATTTGTTAAGTAATAAAATATGCAGTTCATATTGATATAGATGTGTTCGTGTTGAAATGGTGTTTAATACTCAACTATTATACACCTACCGAACTAATGAAGACGGGCATACGCCATTTTGCCCGGACAGTGGCACTAGGGCCTATACTATTCATCGAATTCACACTGTCAATGGTTCTTTACGTGCACATCAACGTGTACTCTGGACCTCGAGTTTTCATCTCATCCGAAAGACAATACCATATTCATTACTAGCTCATGCACCCTGCAACGATGCCAAGTGAATATCCCGGCTTAAAAAGCCGAGGAACTTTCTTGCCCAAAGGCTGTGAGTCATCGCCTTGTGCATAAGAACTGACGCCATCTTCGATATTCGGACTTGACCATGCTAGCACCATCCCTTTTCGTGATCAGCGCATCCACAACATATAGAAGCCATAAAAACACTAGGTTGACTATTCCCGTGTTTTTTTGACTATCACTGAGCCACGACGACACTATTTTCGTTTTTTCCCTGAATGATATAAATATATGATATAGAAAGTACTCGGTATTACCGAATGATTTGTAATAATGGAAAGGTTTGACACTGACCTCCCTTCAGTATGTCATTATAATTTATACTGTACACCTCGTTAAAGAATGGAATTTAGATTATATATCAAATTCCCGGTCTAAATATGAACCGATTAGGTAAACCGTTGTTAACGACCATGACAGAGGGCAGATGAAGAATCACAACTCGAAAGATTGGTATTCTGATTTGAAGTTAAAAGGTAAATTTATTGATATTTTGTGAGCGTTTTTTATAATTATAATTAAATGTAGCATAACATAAAATGTATAATGTTGTGAGTGAGCTTAATTATTTTGCTCAACATTTTTAATCAGAAAATTTATATGTGAAATTGATCGAATGATTCTGATATGATATTAAAATAGAATTATAGAAAGTTTTTATGATGGAGAGAGAGAGAGAAATGTGGTTTAACGTCCACTCGACACAAACAAGGTCATTTCGGGACTAATACATGGTTTAATTTTATTTCAATAATTCGCTTGCGCGTCAGGACCTTTAGCAGTGCGAGGAAACCGGAGGGCCCGGAGAAAACCCATGAGGTTGGACAGGCGACCCTACTCCTTGTCACGTACAACCGGAGATTCGAAACCACGCCAGTTGACTCAATGACAACGAGCAGAGATGAATATGTTTGTTATTAAAGGCTCAACACCACTCTTGTTGTAACTGAATAATATGCCCCAATCTTTATTCTGGTCAACAAATTGTACTATTTTACAATATTCCAATTAATTGATGATACAAATTTTTATCTTAACACACCTAATTCAAAAAATTGGAAAAATTCAACTAAATGATTTGAAAAGCCTAACGTAAACCCTTTGAACTGTGACTTGGATTTTAAAATATTTTCGAACCCTCTGGACAAGTAAAATAAGATTTAATGGGTAATTTACACAACAGGCAGGACAATTAAACATCTAATACTTATAATAAGGCTATTATTTATTTTCTGGAGCTGTCAAGCCAGCAAGAGTGTTATTGTCCCTTTAAACGATATACATATATATTGTAATCGTATTCTTTAACGAGTGATTGTTCTTCCAGAAGGATATGTTACAGTTTAATGCTTTATTCAGTTACTAAATGCCTCTAAATAATTTTTATGAATAAAATTCATTAAGTGTAGATATGAATCGTGGCCATGGTAGTCTAGTGGTAGGAGTGTTCCGTAGCGCCGCTGTCCGGGCAAAACTTCCACCACAGCACACTGCATGGCTTATGTTCGTCTTCATTAGCCCAGTCGGAGTAGAACAGTTGAGAGTACAACCCCATCTCATTTCATGAAATATTTCCAGAATGTGGGATTCTTTATTAGCCTAGTTGGAGTAGAAAAGTAAAGTGTTCAACCTCATTTCATTTCATGAAACATTTCCATAATGTGGGATTCTTCATTGGCTGAGTGCTAATGCTCAGCTATGATTTTAGTGTTCAGCCCGAACATGCTGGCATTCTTCAAATTGCCAAAGCGCCAAGTTTTAGGGACATTTGATATCGTTTGTATTTTCATAATTAATGTCTTCCATTTAACAAGTGACCTTCCTGTATCTTTTTTTCAGAACCATCATGGCACCGTGGCAACCAACCCCAGCTTTTCTTACCTATATTTTATTTTTCTTACTTCTAATGGACGAATGCTGGAGCCAAGGTGCGAGTGGTCGACGTGGAGCAAATATCCGGAATTTTACAGAAGATGATATAAGTGAGATGTTAAAACTACATAACGATTATCGTCGTCAAGCTGGTGCTACAAACATGAGAAAAATGGTTAGCGTTATTTATTTATTTATTTACAGTGAAACCGCTCTGTTAAGACCACCTGTGGGACTGTCGAGATTTGGTCTTAATTATGGGGTGGTCTCGGTTTATAGGGAATATAGAAGAAAAAATTGATTATTTTAATATGTGAGTTGCCCTGAATACTGAGTTGGTCGTTAAGCTGGATTTCACTGTATTCATTTTTTTATTTATTTATTTATTTATAAAATATATTTTAGGTGTGGAATACAGATCTACAGAATTTGGGTCAATCATTTATTGACAATTGTAATTATGGGCACAATCCCAACACTGGTGATATGTTTGGTTTTCGGCATATTGGCGAGAATTTATATCTTTCCTCGGGTAAGTAGCATACCAAACTCTGAAACAAATAACCAACACTACCTAGACGTTCGGATGGTTCGATAAACTGAGGCCCGATTACACATTGGCGTGCACGTAAAAGATCTCTTGACAGTTGGAATTCGGTACCGCTGTTGGGGCAAATTTCCCAGTTAGGCCACTGTATGGTATATGCCCATCGTCATTGGTCCAGTGGGTTCAGAAAAGTAGGACCTTAAACCCCATTTCATTTTGCAGACACTACAGGAAGAGGATAAAGTTCAGGTCCACTGAATATAGGTAACCACGATTGAATCGTATGCAATCTACAACGTTATCGGCTTGTCTGTGGTGTCAGAAATAGGGCCTGAAGAGATATAGCCTCTATTCGCTTGAATGGGATGAAAACGCGAGGTATCGTGTTCACATTTCCTTATTGTAAATATGTACATAGCCCCCCCCCCCTTTTTGTTCATTTTATTCTTATACTATTTAGATTGATTTTATCATAACATGGTTATATAGTCTTTTTGTATATATTTTCTGTCAATCCTTTTCTGTGAATAAAATATTGTTTATACAAAAAAACATTTCCTTATGTGTAGAAATCCCCCCTCTCTTGTACACATTTGAGTGCGTGTAAAAGAACCTTTGACAGTTGGAATTCGAAATGAAAGATTTTGATTATAAATGTTGAATTGTTTTTGTAGGCGATTTTTATAATCTAAAGCCGGCTGTAGATTTCTGGCACGGTGAAATGGCTGATTACAACTTTACTACTGGCGATTGTTCTAATGTCTGTGGGCATTATACACAGGTATATATCTCTCTCTCTCCCTCTCTCTCTCTCTCTCTCTCAAATCTACCAAGATAAGATCCATTAAGAAATGTTGATATAAGGCTCTGTTGATAATTCGACGTTTACTGAGCGAAGATTATCGCCAAAAACATGTTGACAAGTCAAAATCACGAGACAACTCCTCAGCGATGAAACAAATGGCGAGGTTCCGGAAGTGATCGAACATGCATAACGTTAGAGGGAGATAAATATCCCTTCTGTCGTGCAGAATTTTCACTCTTGTATAGCCCATTTCTCTCCTCCCTCCCCATCTCTCTCTCTCTCTCTCTTTCGTTCAAGTCAGATATGTGTGGGCTGACACACAGGCGTCTGTAACGTGGAAAAGAGGGTCTCGTGGATAATTTTAAAAAGTCACCGTAGACTCAATTGTCTACCTAACGAAAATTAGCGAGTATTGCCACTGGTTGACGAAATCTAGAGTAGTGACTTTGATCCATTTTTTTTTAATCCAGCCCGTTTCTCGCCTTACTAATATTATATCTACTGAAAGAGAATCGGTTTCAGACGAGTTATGTGCTCCTGCGTTAGAAATCGGAATCAGACCAGTTATTTGATAATCGCGCTTACGAACATGGACGTAACAGTCTTTAGACATTATACTGAGTCATAGCTTAATATTATTTTTGAAATATTTTCCAAGTTGCTTAATATTATTTTTGAAATATTTTCCAAGTTACAGACGCCCGTGGACTGATAGTCATGAGTATGTTTATTTTATTCACGTTGTATGGGCTGATAGTCATGGGTTTGTTTATATTATTCAGGTTGTATGGGCTGGGAGTCATGAGTTGGGTTGTGGTATAATTTGGTGTGAAACATTAACAGGAGCAAATACTATTACACAAGGAACTATCATAATCTGTAATTATGGTCCAAGGTGAGATGTGTTAACACAGAGTCATCTATATTTCATTCCACGTTAAAAAATCAATAAAACAATGTTAAAGGATACATTATGTCAGAGCTGGGAGTTTTCACTATAATATTTAAAAACTAGATAATGTAAAGGCAATTTGCTGAAAATTTCATTCAAATTGATCCACTCTGAACCGCGAATTAAGCCATTGAATTTTCGGCCTAGCCTCGATCATCATTACTTAAGTCGGTACGATAAAAACATAGTCTCGATTAGCCATTTCATGATTAAATCATGAATGGAAGTCGAACAAGAAATCGGAACCTAATTTAATAAACATCACGGGCTAGCGATGCCATCGAGAGTTGATTATAGTCTGGAAAAGTTAATTAATGTCTAATTAATAATTTAGATAACATTTCAGGCCTAAAGAAAGACCTGCAATAGGCAGATTTGGCTCTTGCATAATGTATGTTTAAGTAATATTTTTATGAGCTGATTAATTGACCATTTCTCAATTAGGCCTATTTTTATTGTTAAATTGATATAATGCTTATTTATGTGACTTATTTAAACCGAGGTCCCGTGTAAATTTGACAGTTGGAATGTGAAAGAAGAGAGCATGCACAATTTCCCTCACTTGCCCGTCTTAAGCACCATTTTATATTCTTCATCTAGTTATACTGTGTTATGTTTACAATAATGGAGATAAGCAGTCATTGTGTGGTTTATACAAAACGTGATAAGGAGTGTGGTCGCTCGTCCAACCTCGTTGGTTTTCTCCGGGTCCTCCGCCCCCCCCCCCCCACTTCTAAAGACCCCTACGCGAAAGCAAATTATTGGAATAAAATTAAAACCATATGTTAGTCCCCAAATTACCTAGTTTGTGTCGAGTGGACGTTAAACCCCATTTCTCTATCCCCCTTATACCAAACGCGTTCTGCATTGGGACTGCTTGGTCCCTCCGTTATCCAAACTTGATCCGACTACCCCCACCCCCACCCCGGCCTCTATACAGTGTGATACAAGTGATGGTGAATACTCGACATTAAATGAAGATATTTTAATTATATTTTAGTGGTAATGCTGGACATGAGGATCCTTTTGAAGCTGGTGCAGCTTGCGCAGCTTGTCCTGCAGATGCACCGTATTGTGAGGACGGTTTGTGCTCGGGTAAATATTTATATCAACAATACAGTCTACCACTAATAATATAAACAACAATATGGTCTACCACTAATAATATAAACAACAATATGGTCTACCACTAATAATATAAACAACAATATGGTCTACCACTAATAATATAAACAACAATATGGTGTACCACTAATAATATAAACAACAATATGGTGTACCACTAATAATATAAACAACAATATGGTCTACCACTAATAATATAAACAACAATATGGTCTACCACTAATAATATAAACAACAATATGGTCTACCACTAATAATATAAACAACAATATGGTCTACCACCAATAATATAAACAACAATATGGTCTACCACTAATAATATAAACAACAATATGGTGTACCACTAATAATATAAACAACAATATGGTGTACCACTAATAATATAAACAACAATATGGTCTACCACTAATAATATAAACAACAATATGGTCTACCACTAATAATATAAACAACAATATGGTCTACCACTAATAATATAAACAACAATATGGTCTACCACCAATAATATAAACAACAATATGGTCTACCACTAATAATATAAACAACAATATGGTCTACCACTAATAATATAAACAACAATATGGTCTACCACTAATAATATAAACAACAATATGGTCTACCACTAATAATATAAACAACAATATGGTCTACCACCAATAATATAAACAACAATATGGTCTACCACTAATAATATAAACAACAATATGGTCTACCACCAATAATATAAACAACAATATGGTCTACCACTAATAATATAAACAACAATATTGTCTACCACTAATAATATAAACAACAATATGGTCTACCACTAATAATATAAACAACAACATGGTCTACCACTAATAATATAAACAACAACATGGTCTACCACTAATAATATAAACAACAACATGGTCTACCACCAATAATATAAACAACAATATGGTCTACCACTAATAATATAAAAAACAATATGGTCTACCACCAATAATATAAACAAAAATATGGTCTACCACTAATAATATAAACAACAATATTGTCTACCACTAATAATATAAACAACAATATGGTCTACCACTAATAATATAAACAACAACATGGTCTACCACTAATAATATAAACAACAATATGGTCTACCATTAATAATATAAACAACAATATGGTCTACCACCAATAATATAAACAACAATATGGTGTACCACTAATAATATAAACAACAACATGGTCTACCACTAATAATATAAACAACAACATGGTCTACCACTAATAATATAAACAACAACATGGTCTACCACTAATAATATAAACAAAAATATGGTCTACCACTAATAATATAAACAACAATATTGTCTACCACTAATAATATAAACAACAATATGGTCTACCACTAATAATATAAACAACAATATGGTCTACCACTAATAATATAAACAACAATATAGTCTAATATAAACAACAATGGACTGTGGTATTATTTTAGAATATATAAGTTGATCTTTTATGCATATATTATAGATGAACGTTAGCTGTACAGCGCGGTAGACGTTTTCTGTTTATTTCGTGCTGTCTATGTGCGGTTCTCCTGCTCTTAGTATTGGGCATAATATTTAGCCTAATATTTAGTCATCTTTTGGGTGGATTTTGTATTTAACGAGCGCCCGTGATTCTCCCTGTCATGCATACCCATTTCCTCAAATGTGTCAAAAGCAAAGTTTATTTATAAACAAAAAGTGAGCCAGTTTTTTTTTAAGATACTCGGAAAATGTTCGTTGATAAATTCGGCAAATTTGGTTTGAACTCCACCAAACATAAAATTTTAATATATTTCAGCTACGGATGCCTCGGGAGCAACCACTACGCCTCCAGCAATGGATGTCACGGCACCGACTACAACGACATCCACAACAATGACAACAACTGCTACGTCATCCACAAATGACCAATCAACGGCTGAATTATTACCAGCCACCACTGACGGTGACAATATCATTACAGCGACAGATGTAACGGAAATACAGAAACTGGACGTCATGACTCAACTGGTTCAAAATATTGTCATTTTCGGATTCGTTTCCGGAGCCTTGTCGCTGTGTTTGATTTTCCAATATGTCAACAATTATGTGAATAACAAAAAAGAGGAGAGGGAAGCAAGGCAATTAAAAGGTGTTTAGTGTTTATGGTGGCTTGTAATTTTATAAAAAGATATTGGATACGAAACTACGGACTGTAATTCTGTAAACATTTATTGGATATGAAATTAAGGATTTTGTAAACATTTATAGGGAACGAAACTATGGATTGTAATTCTGTAAACATTTATTGGATATGAAACTACGGATTTTGTAAATATTTATTGGATATGAAACTATGCATTGTAATGTTTTAAACTTTTATTGGATACGAAGCTACTGATCGCAATCGAAACTAGACATTTATAAGATACGAAACTACGGATTATAATTCTGTGAACATTTAATGGATACGAATCTACAGATTGTAATTCTGTTGACATTTATAGGATACGAAACTACGGATAATAATTCTGTAAACATTTATTGGATACGAAACTACAGAAACTATGGATTGTAATTGTGTAGACATTTATAGGATGCGGAACTATGGATTGTAATTTATTGGATACGAAACTGCGGCAATAATATGTTATGTGAAGTGGCATAAGATGTTTGGGGCTCGTGCAAGACAGCGATTGCTACAGTGTCTCTTTTAACTGATGACTATTTTAATTGAAACATTACGCAAAGAACCATAACTCTGTGTTACCGGTGGACTTTTTAAATGAAATTGATTTACGCAAAGACGTCGTGTTGGCATGTTCTAACTATAGCCTTCAACACCTTTGCTTATAGGCCCTACCAATTTTTACTTAACTTAGGAATTATTTAGATTTTTTTAGTTATCTGAAGAATTATTCACTTAACTTAGGAATTATTTAGATTTTTTTAGTTATCTGAAGAATTATTCACTTAACTTAGGAATTATTTAGATTTTTTTAGTTATCTGAAGAATTATTCACCTAACTTAGGAATTATTTAGATTTTTTTAGTTATCTGAAGAATTATTCACTTAACTTAGGAATTATTTAGATTTTTTTAGTTATCTGAAGAATTATTCACTTAACTTAAGAATTATTTAGATTTTTTTAGTTATCTGAAGAATTATTCACTTAACTTAGGAATTATTTAGATTTTTTTAGTTATCTGAAGAATTATTCACTTAACTTAGGAATTATTTAGATTTTTTTAGTTATCTGAAGAATCATTCATTTTATTGGTTTACTCATCTTAAAAAAATGGCCATATTTTTATTTATTCATCTCATTTTTATTTATCCATCTAAAGAGTTAACATTGTTTATTTTTTACTCATATTAAAACTACTTACAATTGTATTTATTCATCTTAAGAGAGAGAGAGAGAGAGAGAGAGGGAGAGAGAGAGAGAGAGATCGGCAATTTTTCGACCGATAATGGAATAGTTCTATACAAAATATGTATTGAGGAAAATATGTTAGAAGCATCAATAACTCATATAGTTTTAATATTTAACAACGGATCATAGAAGACTTTACAATCAGATGTTGGTTGAAGTGAAGCGTGTCTACCAGAAGATGTGAGATGTGGTATGAGACATCAATGTTTCGCACAATCTTTGAAGTAGTTCATTGAGATAAGCTCATGAAGATTTTATTTTTACCACCTCATCAAATCTTTATTTATTATTTAGTTTCACAAATTATAAAGTTTTAAAAGTTAATCAACACCCACGCTCGAAAAAAGTCGTATCTCTTTTACTTTTATATAAATTACAAAGAAATTTTTGCTGCTCACTTGTTTGTCGTTCTAGAGAGAGAGAGAGAGAGAGAGGAGAGAGAGAGGGAGAGAGGGGGGCGAGAGGGGGGGGGGGTGAGAGAGAGAGAAATGGGGTTTAACGACCACTCGACACAAACTAGGTCATTTCGGGACTAACATATAGTTTAATTTTATTTCAATAATGCGCATGCGCGTAGGGGTCTTAAGCAGTGGGAGGAAACCGGATTGTCGTTCTAACTCATGGATTTTCATAAGGTTCCACGGAGAGCCGGTTCTTGTCGGTTTCTTACCATTTGGGCTTTACCTTTGAACCGGGATAACGAGTTAATTACCAAAAGCCGCAAATCCGCCCCACGATCTCTTAAAGACTGACGGCAGAACGATTTATTATATTAAAGCAGCCTGTGACATTTTTATTTCAGTTTCACCAATATTGACAATCTGATTAAAACACAGATCTTATTTCGTTTCGTTTTTTATAGTTCAAAATTTCGTTTTACTTGTCTTTACTACACTAGGATCTGGAAGAGTTGTTATATAACAGGCGTTCTGGTTGAAGTGAGGTATTAGCCAATGAAATGGTCTGTTACGGAGAGTTTTTGGTGTAAGGTGCACGGAACTGTGGGTAACCCACTAGAAACGTCAACGCTGATTGATTAATCAATGTCTGGCGTCATATAGGGTCAACAGCCACTCGCACAACCCTAGAAATGGTTCCACTATTGATGTCTTCCGTCGTGCTCCAGCCACAGTAGTGGACCGTCTTAAAGATGGTTCCCGCGTACAAACTGGGTTTTTTAATGGTATATATGGACTAAAAACATATTCAAACTAATTAATTTGTCATAATTGTGCTTCAAATCCTTCTCAAACATTGTAATTGCGAAGGAATTCCCTGCTATTAAAATTCGATCACGTCTTGGAAATCAGAGGAGAATTCATTGCATACATAAGACGATGTTGTCTTTAATCGCTTACTATTTATTACAAATATTGAATCCTAATCAAATTCTCAGATTATCCACTACCCGCATCTTTTTCCGTCATTTTTATCTCAGAAAGTGTTGTACGTCTAACTCTTCATAAAGTTTATCAACTTGTACATCAAGGGCTCAATGTTCGCGTGTGACCTTTGACATCACGCGTGCAGAAATTCTTAATCGTCGGGCTGTTGATTAGGGGAACCCTTACATTTTGTCCTGTATACGCTCCATGAGTGTTTTTCGGGGAATCCAGTATTTTTCTAGTAAGATTGGATATCTCTACTTTCCATATATACCAAAATTGCCATACTTTTATTGGAAATAACCACCCGATAAATACTTTTCTGGGAACCCATCTTTAAGGCCTTCCTTTGAACAAGTTTTGTAGTCAATTGACTACAAAAAAGTAACTGGCCTATAACTCCCTTAATTTCCAATAACACTGACCCCAAACTGTACTGTACATAGCTTAACATATAATAAACCAATTTCCATTGAAATGAAGGTGAAACTTACCGTATTGATTAAACCCAACTGCAATACGAAATTTCTGTTCAGTTTAAAATGACTGCCGAACCAGAATCACGGGGTGTCATTTCACTCGAAAATACAGGAGAACTGTTCGGTAAGATAAGATTGAGATTTCAATGTTCCACTCTTCACTATTTGTAACATATTTCCATGCAAACTGTGATGATTTGTGTTGAAAATTTTGCAATTGAACCGAAATTTTATTTGCTCAAAACCACGAATAGTGTATCAATTGCAGCCGTAAATAAGAATGATCACGGCTAAAAATTGCAGCTAGCACGACCCCTGACGCCACCTTCCACTACAGCTGGTCAGATCTTCATCGAAAATATATATATATAAAAAAACGAAACGAAATATAGATCTGTATTTTAATCAGATTGCAATATTGTCTGCGACATAGTTTTTTTTTTTCACCGATATGGCTACATCTATCATTCCCGGCAAAGCGAAAAGAAAGAAAAGACCCAGGGCAGACCAACCAAATTTATTTATTCAAGCTTCTACATTTTACTTTATTCAATAAAAGATATGTTGATTGTTTCTTTCTGGTGTGTTAGGCCTATACGATTTAATTCAATATATTGTCGACAAATCAGTAGTGCGTTTATTGCATACTTCATGGGTCCCAAAAGGCCGAAAAATTGCTTTCTTTGAAGACCACTCAGACTAATCTGATTTTGTTATAAAAATGTGTTATCTTAATAAAACTGATATTGTTGTTTTAATCAAATTGATGGTTGTGTTTCACTGTTTGTATTAATGTTTTAGTACTTTGTTGTTTTAACAGATTGGTAGTTGTATTCGTTTTATTATTTCATCATGAAGTTTATATGTATGGTCGACCAGTGGCAAGGAGCGATCAAGGCAATATTCTATTACTTTAAATTCTAGTAATAATCATACTAGGCTATATGTGTTGGGGGATCACGTGGCTAAGTGGGTAAGACGCTGGCTCGCTAGCCTGGAGGTCGGGTGTTCGATCCCTGCATTTGCCGAGAAGTTCATCCAGATTTTCCGGCGTGGTTTCCCCTTGTCGGTGATGCAGGACGGAGGGCCTGACAAGGACAGCTGTCTAGTCGTTCGGATGGAACGAAAAACCGAGGTCCCGTGTACAAATTGGCTTGCACGTAAAATATCCCTTGGCAATTGGAATTCGATGTAAGAGTAGGCCGTAACCCCGCTGTCCGGGCAAAATTTCCCTCATAGCACACTGTATGGTGTATGTCCGTCTTCATTAGCCCAGTTTAGGAGCAAGACAATAGGACGTTAAGCCCCATTTCATTTCATTGCTATATGTGTTGTCCCTTTAATGGTGGGTCGTATGTGTTAGAGGGCGTCGTATACTCCACAGTGTCAGGATGGAGTATTGTATAGTAGGCCTATTGTTCACAGGGGCGTAAATGATTGGAAGGGGTGCATAAAACAAATAGGTGGTCTAACAATTTTGCCTCCGGCGACTAAATGAATTAATGAGGTAAACAAACAATGCCAAAATATAACTAGGAGGGGAAATCCCATTGTTTTTTTTTTCTTTTTCTTTAATTTTCAATATATGTTTGAATATTGCTTTGATTTGATATCAGGCATCCCCCGCCCACTCCCACACCCCCCGCCCACATCCCCGCCCACCCGCCCACATCCCCCGACTTCCCGCCCACACACCCCCATGCCCACACTCATACTTCTGACTGTCATCCAACCTATACAAATTCTTACAAATGATCGGCCAACGTCCCGAGTCTTTTTTGAGAAAATATTCATAGCTGATATCAATATAAGAATAATTTACAAAATGTATCAAGGGATGCAACTCCAAAATTGAACGCAGTTACCCCCCTTTAGTATGATCACATGATAGTTAAAATGGCGTCGTCAGTTTTTGGCTAAAGAGTGTGAATTGTTTACATCATTAATTAATATTGATTTAAACTGTGATTGTCAGAAGATGAATAGATTATTTTGTACATGATGAATGTTTTCTTCTCACAATTTGTGGTAATCAGTAAGTTGTTGTTTCATAAGTTTAATAGAAAACTGAACATTCTAGCTACATAATCTACACATTCGACTCGTCTACTCGCGAGTCGTGCTTCCTTATAACATAAAAATAAACTGCTTGTGACAGTCAAGTTGGATATTAAAGTAAAAGGACTGAAACGTGTCATAATCCAATAGAAAACTAAATAGTGTAATGCAGTTGTACTGTGTAGTGTACATGTACATACTTCACTTTCCGGGGACATTTTTCAATCACTTGTCACAATAAAAAATATGTTTTGTGATAGTGTGTCATATCTTGTGACAGTGGGTAATATGTACAGTGTAGGCGGTTCAGTCACATGACAATTAAAAATATATGTTGTCAACATTGTACCGTAGGTGTCATTTAATCTTGTGACAGTGGGGTATTTTAGGGGGGTTGGATGGCCAAATGTGCAAGTTGTATCAAGGTCTGTCATTGAGTCAACTGGCGTAGTTTTGATTCCCTGGTTGTACATGACAAGGAGTAGTGTTGCCTGTCCAACCTCATGGGTTTTCTCCGGGTCCTCCCACTGCTAAGGACCCCTATATATGCGCAAGCGAATTATTGAAATAAAATTGAACCAACTATAAATTGACCATTGTAAGGCCCTCTAGGTTAGCCAGGAAACATCTAACCCACAGTGGGGTATTTTAAATCAAATTCTGGGGGGTGGGATGGCCTAATGTTTAGCACGTGCGCATTGTATCATAAGGTCTGTCATCGAGTCAACTTGCATGCCTTCGTTTCCCCAGTTGTATGTGACAAGTAGTAGGGTTGCCTGTCCAACCTCGTGGGTTTTCTCCGGGTCCTCCAGTTTCCTCCCACTGATAAAGACCCCTACGTGCAAACGAATTATTGAAATAAGATTAAAAAATATGTTAGTCCCGAAATGACCCAGTTTTGTCAAGTGTACATTAAAACCCCATCGAGTCATCATGACACTGTTTTTGTTGTTCTTGGTGTTTAACATCTGCTTGCATTGAGCGTGATATCGCAGAGAAGTTGTCTTATTTTTGTGCAACATTGAAATGTCCTGCAATATGATCAAGCAAAGGTGGTCACCCTACTAAAGACCCCTATGTGCAAGTGAATTATTGATGTGACCTAGTTTAGTCAATGGCTAAGTGTGTAAGACGCTGGCTCACTAGCCTGGAGGTCGCGTGTTCGATCCCTGACATGGTTTCCACATGTCAGTGACGCAGGAGGGAGGGTCTGACAAGGGCAGGTGTCTAGTCATTCAGATGGTACGAAAAACCGAAGTCCTGTGTACACACTAGCATGTACATTAAAGATCCCTTGGTAGTTAGAATTCGATATAAGAGTATTCCGTAGTGCCGCTGCCTGGGCAAAAATTCCCTCATAGTGGAAGTTATACTCCAGTTGTCTCTTTTTTAACATGGATGAATTTTACGGAAATTTGATATGTATCGAGGAAATGAAATTTAAAGAGAGAATTTCATATTTTCTAAGAAAGTCAAAACATAATTATTTCTATGTCTTTTGCTCAATAGGTTATCAACTCACTATTATACGACCATGGACATTATTTCCCACCCTTAAAATCATTGACACAGGAAATAATAACACAATTACCTCCCTTGTTTTCCTATTGCCTCCATGCATTAGCTACCGTCAAACGCTAGAATTTGAAGTTGAAAATGATATTTTTGCCAATTTCCCAGCTGGCAATAGTGACTTATAAGATTAATAGGATTATTCTTTAACAAGGTAGGACGGTTTATGGATACCATCTATTTTAAGGCTTTATTTTAATAAATTTTAAAAATATAACTTAAAAATATGACATTGCAGCTTTAATGTCGTTGTTTATTTTTCTAGGTATTTATACGTTAATTCTATTTACTGAGAATTACCAGGCAAACAATGTTTCTTTATTCAACCAGAACTTGACGTTAAACTGTACAATTAAAATTCTACAATGTAGTCCTTGTCAACAAGGCTCCTTCGCTGATCCAAGTAAGTTGACATGTTAGTCTTAAACGGTGGAGAGAAGTGGGGGTGGGATTGGAGGGAAGCTTTGTATTTAGAGAGAAGTGGGGTAGAATGGGGGTGTGGGTGGAGGAAAGCTTTGTATTTAGACCTCCTAGTCAGTATTTGAATTGATTGTACTTTAGAAGTGGTATCAGATGTTAGTAGGTATATGGGAATATATATCATGCAATGTACACATGTAACTTTCAGGCAATCTTACTTTTCGGGCAGATGGGTAAAGTGAAAAAAAACAATTATTATTTTAAGTAGTTAGCAAGATAAAGTACCCAAAATCTAATAAAAGACTCGTTTTACTTTTCTTTGGGTTGAATACCGCGAATTTGTACTGAATTGACTATGGATTAAAACATTTTGTCTGGAGCCACTTTACTTTGTGCTACATTTTTCGGGCATCGATTATTATTTGTGAATGCAGCTGAGTCTGATTGGATAGTTGGAATTCAGATCGGCATTTGGGTTTCGATTACATAACCATTGGACAACTTTGGAGTAGCTTAACTCGCGGGTTAGCATAGCAGAAAAATGAATTCACGGCAGTTCAATTTTCAAATTTTCTCCAGGAGGGTGAGGCCTGAAGTTGCTGTATTCAGAAAAACGTGTTTCCAGCAGTTAAATTTTTAAAATTTTCTACCGACTCTTGCATATTAGGCTATATTTGAAGTTGGTGTATTCACGGGCTGAAATAGCAGGAAAACGTGTTTGCGCTGTCAAATTTTCCAAAATTTTCTTGGAGGGTCCCTTCTCGGTAAGCTAAGCTCCTCCTCTCTCGCAGAAGACCACCCCCGCCAACCTGAAATTTTTTCGGCCAGTTTGTGTTCTGTCCCCCTAACTATCATCGAGCCTGTACGCCTATGTTGATTGTCTAATCTTTTTGAAATTTATACATTTTGTTTACAGTAATGCCTGGTATCCGTGGTAACCTATATTCTATTTTTCTTTCAGAATTGGCTACTTGTGGATGTTGCAATACAACAGCAGGTTATTGTGCAAGTAAATCATTTTGTACAGCATGTCAAAAGGGAACAGCACAAAGGTAAATTGTAGATATCGCTTGATTCACCTGTCAATTGCAACATGTCAGTTAATTACAATCATTTTGAATCAGTTTTACACTGGGTTTGATTTCATTTTGGATGAAGCCTCAAATGAGGTTTAACATCCACTTGACACAAGGTTGAAACGAGGTTGGACAGGCGATCTTACTCTTTGTCACTTTCAAGCAGGAAATCAAAAACATGCCAGGGGAAGGTGTGGGTGGATGGCCGAATAGTTAGTGCGTGAACGCTGTATCATAAGGCCTGTCATTGAGTCAACTGGCGTGGTTTCAATTCCCCGTTTGTATGTGACAAGGATTAGGGTCGCCTGTCCAACCTCATGTGTTTTCTCCGGGTCCTCCAATTTCCTCGCACTGCTAAACACCCCTACACACAAGCGAATTATTGAACCATATGTTAGTCCCAAAACGACCTAGTTTGTGTCCATTGGAGTTAAACTCTAAATTAAACATACATTATATGATTTAGATAAAGAGCTAGCCATTCTTGCTATAATTGTTCGAACATAGATAATGTAAAATGAATAATTTGAAAATTTCATTTAAATTACTCTATTGCCAGTGAAGATATTAGCCTTTGAAGGTTTGACAAGAAGTGCAATAATTTCAACTACCGTACTGGTTGTTCGGAATAAATCTCGCTTCTCCATTTTTAGCTTAAATCAAAATATGGCTGCACTGTTCTAATCTACCCAGTATTTAATATTGGAGAAATCTGATGCAATCGAGAGCTCATTATGTCCTGGATAAGTTAATTAATGTCTAATTAATAATTTAGAATTTTGCTCTTGCATAATGTATGTTTAACTAAGAGTGACTGCAGCGTGTACCCCAGTGCACATGCAGATTATGCACACATAGAATGAGTTGACTAGCAGACGATGAAATCCAATGTTTATATTTCATCATCCTTTTCAACTTGTCTATGATATCACCCTTGGTGGAAGTGTACGTAAAACTCCAGGAACGAACGATGCACCGTTAATTTTTGTTTGAATGTTTTTCAGTAAATCAAAGCAAAGTAACTGTACAAAATGTTTACCAGGCTTTTATGCTAACGAGACAGGAAGTGAGACGTGTTCTCCATGTGATATAGGTATGTTAACGTTCTCAATCGTTTTGGTTTTTTTCGGACCACAAAGATTTACGAACCTCAATGCAAATGATAAATACAGAAACGTTTATTTTACAGGTACTCACGCCAGCGATAATGGAACTGTCAATTGTTCTCCTTGTAATGCCGGATTCTACCAGAATGACACTGGACAAGCAGACTGTGATCCCTGTCCGCAGGGACAATTTCAAAATAATACAGGAGGAGACTCTTGTGCACCTTGTGCTGAGGGTCAATATCAGAATTTAACAGGTCAAGCATTGTGTGAAGCTTGTCCTACAGGACATTTTCAAAATAATACTGGTGAAGCTGCGTGTGACGAATGTCAGCCCGGTCAGTTTCAGAAATCGACAGGTCAGACGTTGTGTGAAGAATGTTCTGAAGGTCACTATCAGAACGTATCTGGTCAAGCTCTCTGTGATCCGTGTGCTTTGGGTTTTAGTCAGAATTTAACAGGAGCCCTGGAATGTGATCCGTGTACCCCCGGTTTTTACTGTCCGTAAGTTGGATTAGTATTTTCCTTTTTTTCAACTTGTTTATATTTTCCTTATTTCAACTTCTTTATATTTTCCTTGTTTCATCTTGTTTATATTTTCCTTGTTTCAATTTGCTTATATTTTCGTTGTTTCACCATGTTTATATTTTCCTTGTTTCATCTTGTATATATTTTCCTTATTTCAATTTGTTTATATTTTCCTTGTTTCACCATGTTTATATTTTCCTTTATTTTACCATGTTTATATTTTCCTTTATTTCATCATGTTTATATTTTCCTTATTTCAACTTGTTTATATTTTATTTATTTTAACTTTATTTAAATTTCATTTGGTTTGCATATTTTTGTCATTTAGACTGTTCTGAAGGTTCATAATAATAAATGACATAATTATTACCTCAATTTTTAGATCATTTTTTTTTTACCTACGTTTTTACCTGTCTGTCTGTGTGTTTCTCACAATAATTGATATATAGGCTACTTTTAAACTTGATACAGGTTGTTTAGCTCATTAATTTTCCATAATAATTTCCAGAGTTATTCCACTTTGTTATAAAATCTTGTTAGCACTGTAGAGGCTCCAATTATGATTTGATCTTTATGATGTTGATAATTCTGTATCTTAGCTGCTAATGTGTTTGTTGGAGAGAGTTGTTAAATTGCATGGTAATCCATACTTAAATGTTTTGGCCTCAAAACCTGTAGATTTAACTGTTTTTACTGTGTTTATTAACTGAAAATTTATTTACCCTGTCTGTTTCACTGCCAGTCCTATTGGAGGTTGGATGGCCGAATGGCCAGCACATGCGCGCTGTTTCATAAGGTCTGTCATAGAGTCAACTGGTGTGGTTTCGATTCCCTGGTTGTAAGTGACAAGGAGTAGGGTCGCCTGTCCAATCTCGTGGGTTTTCTCCGGGTCCTTCGTTTTCTTCCAACTTCAAGCGAATTATTGAAATAAAGTTGAACCATATGTTAGTCCTATTGTAGATCTTTCACACTAGATGTGGAACTACGAATCATGATCAATATAAAATTATCTTTTTCAGTGAAATTGGGTGTATAGAATGTCTAGCTTGTGAAGCAGGTAAGAAATAAAATAATTTGCATACATAAAAACAAAATGCTTTCAAAAAACGAAATTTTGAAAAAGATGTTTTTTTGCTTGGAAATGAAATGTGTTGATTGTATTAGAGATCCATTGTGACTCAGTGATTAGGGTGATAGCTGGCTAACCAGGAGAACCAGGGGTGTGAAGTTCCTCAATATATCCCATCATGCTTTCCCCTTGTCACTAATGCCGGACGGTTGGCTTGGCATAAATCAGTGACTACTCCTGTGTCTTGAACAAATGGCAAGCACGTAAAAGACACCTTGGCCATCCATCCTGCATCACATACATAGGTGAACCAGACTAGAAAATTCCCAGCCACGCTATTGAGGCATGATGGTTCCTGTAAAGAATTAAAAGAGCTGCGATGTTGAACAGGCCATCCTACTCCTTGTCACATACATGTGGGGAATTGAAACTTTGCTACTTGACAATCTGCGTTGAACAATTTGTATTTATTTTTCAGGTACCTATGTTGATGAATCAGCAGCACAACTTTGTGTTAAATGTCAAGAAGGCGAATATCAGAATATAACTGGTCAGGATTCATGTGTTGAATGTGATATGGGAACATTCTGCAAGTAAGTTTATCTTTCTAAATCTAATTAAAGTCTCACTAGTTTATAGCTTCATTAAATCATGTGTGGACCATTGTGTAAATAGGGGGGGTTGGATGGCTGAATGGTTAGCGTGCGCACACTGTATCATAAAGTCTGTCATTGAGTCGACTGACGTGGTTTCGAATCCCCGGTTGTACATGGCAAGGAGTAGGGTCGCCTGTCCAACCTCGTGGGTTTTCTCCGGGTCCTCCGGTTTCCTCCCACTGCTAAAGACCCCTACGCGCAAGCGAATTATGTAAATAAAATTAAACCATATGTTAGTCCCGAAATGACCTAGTTTGTGTCGAGTGGACGTTAAACCCCATTTCTCTCTCTCTCTCTTTGTGTAAATAGCTAATGGCGACTGGAGACGCTGTGAGCAAGACGTTTGGATGGTCCAAAAAACAGTTGGAATTCAATATAAGAGTAGGCCATAGAGCAGAAAAGTAGGACATTAAACCCCATTTCATTTCTTTTTTTTATAATTTAGTGCTTTAAAAATGAAATTATACCTCCAGTATTTTATAATTATCACAATTCAGCAAAGAATTGGCTTTGTTATGATGTCGGATATTGGCATGGCTCACAAAACAGGTTCATATTGAATGTCTGACTAGAGCATTAATTGCTCAGATCCCTTCAAAATGAAATCAAAAGAAATGGGGTTTAACATCCTACTGTTTTGCTCCTAACTGGGCTAATGAAGATGGGCATACGCAATACAGTGTGCTATGAGGGAAATTTTGCCCAGGAAGCAGCACTATCACATACTCTTATATCGAATTCCAACTGCCAAGGGATCCTTTACGTGCATTCCAATGTATACACAGGACCTCTGTTTTTCTGTCCCGTCCGAACGACTAGACAGCTGTCCTAGCGATTGAGCACATTAAAAAAAACAGTCTGATTAAAACACAGATCCTATTTCGTTTCGTTATATAGTTCAAAATTTTGTTTTACTTGTCTTTACTACACTAGGATCTGGAAGAGTTGTTATATTACGGACGTTTTGATTGAAGTGAGGGATAAGCCAATGAAACGGTCTGTTAAGGCGACTTCTTGGCATGCCATGCACGGAACTGTGGGTAAACCACTAGAAACGTTAATGCAGATTGATTAATCAATGTCTGACGTCACAGGGTCAAGAGCTGCCCGTACGCCCCCTGACACAACCTTCCAGTACCACTTGTCAGATCTTCATGTAGTGTAGGCCATCAAAAGTATAAAAAAAACAAAACGAAATATAGATCTATATTCTAATCAAACTGTAAAAAAAAACCCAACACAATTTATTTGTAAAGTAATCAATGGTTTATACAAATATAGCACAACATTTCAACAAGTTTTCTCTTATGGTCAGCAAGCACAAATGAAAACCTGGGAACCCTTTTGGAAACTTTGTGCTATATATCAGTGATTTTTTTCCACATCGGAACTTTTTAAAGAATTTTAGAAGCCATTTTCTCTGACCACATGTATCGTGCTAAACCACGATTTTTTCTGTTTTTCTTCCTTTTCGTCAGTTGTACAGGTTGTGAAGCATGTTTTTTATGCGGTGAAGGTCATTTTGGTAATGAAACGAAATTGGATGATTGTTACGCTTGTCCAATAGGTAGGTCAAGATATTATACATCTAGATGGTGACAAGAAAATTTGTCAGGTGATTGGGATGTGATGAAAACTGATGTCCAACTGTGTACACGTTACCCTGGCAACAGATATCATCTTGGGGACGTTACCCTGGCAACAGATATCTTCTTGGGGGTGGTACCCTAAAAACAGATATCTTCTTGGGGGTGGTACCCTAAAAACAGATATCATCTTGTGGGTATTAACCTAGAAACAGATATCATCTTGTGGAGTGTTACCCTAGAAACAGATATCATTGATCATCTTGTTGGCATTACCCTAGAAACAGATATCTTCTTGTGGGTATTACCCTAGAAACAGATATCTTGGGGGTGTTACGTCCTAGAAACAGATATCATCTTGGGGGTGGTAACCTAGAAACAGATATCATCTTGCGGGCGTTACCCTAGAAACAGATATCATCATGTGTACGTTACCCTAAAAACAGATATCATCTTTTTTTCTTTTTTTTTCAAATCACTGTTGATTTATATCTTTGTACGTCACGTTCATCTTTGGAATAAAAAAGATTAGGCCATAGTCCCACTGTCCAGGCAAAATGTCCCTCATAGCACATTGAATGATGTATGCCCAATTTTATTAGCCGAGTTTGAGCAGAAAGTAGGACGTTAAACCCCATTTTATATCTATGGTTAAAGTTCTTCTGTATTGTTTGTTATATCTATGTTTTGTTGTACAGTTCTCCTGTATCGTTTAGTCTGACTGCTTTTGTTTTATTTGGATAGGAACATATCAACCAATGAAAGGTCAGACAGATTGTAAAGATTGTCCACCAGGAGCCGAGGCAATGTAAGTTGATATTTTATAATTTGTAGTGGATTTAGCCCAGGCAGTGTAGAAATGTCAGACGTTATAAACCCCATTTTATTTCACATTTCAAGTATTTATTGATATATTATGAAATATACTAGCGATCCACATTCTTCATCGTATAGGTCGCGTGTTCAATCCATGCATTGGCCAAGAGAGTTCATTGCGATTTTCCGGCATGGTTTCCTCTTGTCAGTAAGGGCCTGACAAGGACAGATGTCTAGTCATTTGGATGGGGGGGGATCACGTGGCTAGGTGGGTAAGACGCTGGCTCACTAGCCTGGAGGTCGGGTGTTCGATCCCTGCATTGGCCGAGAAAGTTCATCCAGATTTTCCGGCGTGGTTTCCCCTTGTCAGTGATGCAGGATAGAGGGCCTGACAAGGACAGCTGTCTAGTCGTTCGGATGGGACGAAAAACCGAGGTCCCGTGTACACATTGGCGTGCACGTAAAAGATCCCTTGGCAGTTGGAATTCGATATAAGAGTAGGCCGTAGCGCTGCTGCCCGGGCAAAATTTCCCTCATAGCACACTGTATGGCGTATGCCCAGGTTAGGAGCAGAACAGTAGGACATTAAACCCCATTTCATTTCATTTTAATTTCATTTTCATTTGGATGGGACGAAAAACTGAGGCCCCATGTTTACATTGGCGTGCACATAAAAAATCCCTTGGCATATGGTGTATGCCGTTCTTCATTAGCTCAGTATAGGAGCAGAGCAGTAGGACGTTAAACCTCATTTCATTTCATTTCTTCATTGTTTAAACACCGAACTGTCAAATAGCGTCACTAGCAATGGAAGTTCTAGTAGCACATGCATGTCCAGATAAAACGTAAATGTAAGTTAATTATTGAATGTCAACATCAAGTAGTCTATGGTGATTAGCATCTACTCAACACAGACTGTCTCATTTTGGGAAAGTTGGCCTATATATCAATACTTCCGTCACGGATGGCCGATTGGTTAGCACGTGCGTGTTGTATCATAAGTTCTGTCATTGAGACAACTGGCGTGGTTTCGATTCCCCAGTTGTACGTGACAAGGAGTAGGGCCACCTGTCGGTAAACCCCATTCCTCCCCCTGTCTATGTATATAACATTGAGAAAATACTCTTCAAAAAGTGACCCACATAAATCAAGTAGCTGTTTTTGTGTATTGCTCTATCCAGTTACGGATTATATACAGTCACATTTGTTGTGTTGTTTTTTTTATATAGTAAATCTGGAAGCCATAATTGTACAGGATGTGCTAAAGGAACATATAAAAATACAACCAGTCCTGATTTCTGTAAATCTTGTGATGTTGGTGAGTTGATATCTTTCTTTTTGATATTTAGATTTCTATTATAGCACACTGTATGGCATATGCTCATCTTTATTAGCCCATCGAGCAGAACAGTGGAAAGTTAAACCATTTCATTTGACGGTTATTATTTCCAGGTCATTATGCTAATGTTGTAAATTCTACTGAGTGCCTTCCGTGTGATGCTGGACATTATCAGGAACAGACGGGTCAATTTGAATGTAAAGCGTGTTTAACAGGATCTTACTGCAAGTAAGTATATGTATAGTGATGCGATTTAAAAAATGTTCTTGTCAGACATTTTTACCGAAAATAAAGGGGCATAACTCTTATCTTTATTAAAGCAGGCAGTTTCAGACCACAATTAATAAATAATAAAAAAATAGGTGCGCCTCATTATTTTTCAGATTTAATTCCCGTACGGTATTCAAATTTCTGTCAATAATATTCCTACAAAATTCTGTGTTATCGTAATACGATAGAATGAAAGGGTGCCGACTACTGTTGACCCGTATTTTTGTTCAAATTCACTTCCAAAATTACAGTATATTTCGGGCTATGAGTCAATACTGTATTCAGCAGAAGTCCGGCATTTGTTTTATACTCCATTTTATCTTCTATATGGATGGAGGTAAAAAAAAAATATCATATATCATATAACATGTGAGTATATGAATATGAACATTCGATCACAACATGGGGGGGGGGGGTTGCTGAATGGTTAGTGTGCGCGCGCTGTATCATAAAGTCTGTCATTGAGTCGACTGGCGTGATTTCGAATCCCCGGTTGTACGTGACAAGGAGTAGGGTCCCCTGTCCAACCTTGTGGGTTTTCTCTGGGTCCTCCGGTTTTCACCCACTGCTAAAGACCCCTACGCGCAAGTGAATTATAGAAATAAAATCATATGTCAGTCCCAAAATGACCTAGTTTGTGTCGAGTGGACGTTAAACCCCATTTCTCTCTCTCTCTCTCGATCACAGCGTCTGTCATTCAGTCAAGTGACATGGTTTGGACAAGGAGTACGATCGATTGTCCAACCTTGTGGGTTTTCTCCTGGTCTTCCGAGTTTCCTTCTACAGTTAAATATCCCTATGCACAAACAAATTATGAAATAAAACTGGACAATATGTTGGTCTTTTTCGTGGGGGTAGTAAACTCTGTTTCTCTCTACTTGTTTTTATTTCATCATTTAGATCAATCGGATTAAAATATAGATCTATACTTTTTTATACTTTCGATGGCCTACACTACATGAAGATCTGACCGGTTGTAGTGGAAGGTGGCCTCATGGGTCATACAAGCTGCTTTTGACCATATGATGTCAGACATTGATTAATCAATCAGCATTGACGTTTCTAGTGGTGTGTAACGCACGCCAAGAAATTACCGTAACAAATGGTTTCATTGGCTAATCCCTTACATTAACCAGAACGCGATTTATATAACAACTCTTCCAGATCCTAGTGTAGTAAAGACAAGTAAAAAGAAAATTTTGAACTCCAAAAAACAAAACGAAATAGGATCTGTGTTTTATAATCAGATTGCATTTAGATACATTTTATATTTTATAGTAAAAGTGCATGTGCAAATTGTGTGGCGTGTCCTGCTGGTCATGAAGCTCTAACAGGTGGTGCTGAAGATTGTACGCAATGTGATAAAGGTCGGTTTTATTTATTTAATTTTTTCATTACTGTGGTTACTGGGTGGGAGGGTGGATGGCCGAATGGTTAGCACGTGCGCACTGTATCATAAGGTCTGTCATTGAGTCAGCTGGCGTTGTTTCGATTCCCTGGTTGTACGTGACAAGGTGTAGAGTCGCCTGTCCAACCTCATGGGTTTTCTCCGGGTCCTCCTGTTTCCTCCCACTGCTAACGACCCATATGCAAATGATTGAAATGAAATTGAAAGATAGGTTAGTTCCGAAATGACCTAGTTTGTTTGGATTGGACGTTAAACCCCATCTCTCCCTCTCTCACTATGGTTACCAGCTTTCTGTGACCATTTATAATGATCATGTAGTTAATGTTATCTGTGATGACCAGGTGACTGCCACTCCCCCTCCCCATTACCTCTCCCTCTCCCTGTCCCCGTTCCCTCTATGTCCTATCCGTAATAACGAGGATAACAAACTAAACTATGAAATAATATATTGTCTTTAATTTGTTAATTACCATTTTCTCAATTAAATAGAGCATTATCATAAGTTTGAAGATGTTTGAAATATGTTCTAGCAGGTGTGATTATGTTCTAAATTATGATTGGGTGTTTATTGATTATGTTATAATAGTTATATTATGTTATAATAGTTATAAATTATGTTTGGGTGTTTATTGGTTATGTTATAATAGTTATATTATGTTATAATAGTTATAAATTATGTTTGGGTGTTTATTGGTTATGTTAGAATAGTTATATTATGTTATAATAGTTATAAATTATGTTTGGGTGTTTATTGATTATGTTATAATAGTTATATTATGTTATAATAGTTATAAATTATGTTTGGGTGTTTATTGATTATGTTATAATAGTTATATTATGTTATAATAGTTATAAATTATGTTTGGGTGTTTATTGATTATGTTATAATAGTTATATTATGTTATAATAGTTATAAATTATGTTTGGGTGTTTATTGGTTATGTTATAATAGTTATAAATTATGTTTGGGTGTTTATTGATTATGTTTATGTGTTATAATATGTTATAATGATTAATGTTTGTGTATTATATATTTCAGGTTATAATAAAAGTGTTGATAGTTTTGAATTATGTGAACAATGTCCCGATGGTTATTTTACGATACAAAAAGGTTCACGACTGTGTAATATATGCCCAGAAAATTTCTGGTGTCCTGTAAGTTCATTTTATGTTATTTTCTATTCATGGGGCTGGGGTGCGCGCGGGTAGGGCGGGGGTGCGTGGGTTGGGCTGTCATGTAAATAATCTACTTGATTTTATGTTATACCTTATTCACATGGGTAGGGGTAGCACTGTAAGTCATAGGTCTGTCATCTAGGGAAGGGGTAGCACTGTAAATCATAGGTCTGTCATCTAGGGTAGGGGTATCACTGTAAATCATAGGTCTGTCATCTAAAGTCTATTTGTGCGAAATGAAATTTAAACATTTAGAACATTGGACTAGAATGACCCATGGTTTGAATCGTGGAGTTTATTAGTCAGCCGTTCACCTGTTTTGGTAAACTTCACCTAGCTGACAACTCTGTTAGATGTTAGTAGCATGATTTCGTAAGTTCTACAATGAAACAAAATGGCGTTTAACATCTTACAGGCATATGCCGTGCAGTGTGCTATTAGGGACATTGTGCTTGGTCAGCGGCGCTACGGCCTACTTTTATTTCCAATTCCAATTGCCAAGGGTTCTCTTACGCCATCCGAAGACTATACATTGTCCCTTGCCAGTCCCTCCGTCCTACACCAGTATTAAACACAGAACTTCCAGGTTATGCTACGATAGGATTGTCCCTTCATTGAAATGAAATGATATGAAATGAAATGTGGTTTAGCGACCTACTGTTCTGCTCCGAACTGGGCTAATGAAGACAGGCATACGCCATACAGTGTGCTATGAGGGAAATTTTGCCCGGACAGCGGCACTACGGCCTACTCTTACATCGAATTCCAACTGTCAAGGGATCTTTTACGTGTACGTCAATGTGTACACGGGACCTTGGTTTTCCGTCCCATCCGAACGACTAGACAGCTGTCCTTGTCAGGCCCTCCATCCTGCATCACTGACAAGGGGAAACCACGCCGGAAAATCTGAATGACTTTCTCGGCCAATGCCGGGATCGAACACTCGACCTCCAGGCTAGCGAGCCAGCGTCTTACCCACTTAGCCACGTGATCCCTGTCCCTATTGAGTCCACAATCTGGTACATGCAGATACATGTACATTTGGATACGTTTCGGTACGGTCATCACGATTGCTACAACTGACCTCAACATATGATAAGACCTGATAGGATCACCACGATTACAATCGTAGCGCAAATCGTGATAGTGGGAACCTAGCGTTAGTGAACCAAACTCTCACCCACTGAACCACAGCGACTTCAAGTGTGTTCCACTAGACTACAGGAAATCTGTAGAATGGTCTATCCAGAGTTGTAGATTGTATTGTTTTTATCTATTTTCAGCAAAAGGACGAATCCCCGCAGCAGTGTCCCCCTCGATGTTATTGTCCACAAGGAACTGGATCGAACCCGATACGATGTAACGCCCCGTGGTTTAATATCGACAAATCTAGTGCCTCGTGTAAACCTACAGGTGAACTCATGGCCATTATAGGTGGATGTAGCGCAGGTAAGTTGGTTGTTAAACTTGCCAGGTGTTATTTTAGGTGGATGTAGTACAGGTAAGGTTGTTGTGTTGTTATAGGTGGATGTAGCGCAGGTAAGTTAGTTGTTAAACTAGCTATGTATTGTTATAGAAGGACGTAGTACAGGTAAGTTTGTTGGGTTATTATAGAAGGCTGTAACACAGGTAAGTTTGTCATGTTAATATAGAAGGACGTAACACAGGTTAATCTAGATTTAAACTCAGCAATCGATTCAAAACACAGATGGTATCACTGTAACCCAGGTATCACTGAATCTTTCGTATTTAGTATTAATTTCTGTCACATTCCTTCAATATCAAATCTTTGTTTGAAAATTGATAAAAATGATCCAAAATCATCTAATTTGTACTTATGTCCAGTTGGCAGTTTAAAGCTGACCGTTTTCAATACAATCGTTTAATTTCCTGATAATTATTCATAAATAAGCGAACCAATAAATTGGGTTTAACGTCCTACTGTTATGCTCTGACTGGGCTAATGAAGAAGGGCAGGCTCCGTACAGTGTGCTATGAGTGAAATTTTGAACTATGGCCTACTCTTACATCGAATTCCAACAGCCAAAGGATCTTTTACTTCGGTTTGACGTGCCATCCGAATGACTAGACAGCTGGCAAGGGGAAACCACGTTGGAAAATCCTGATAAATTGTCTCGGCAAATGCAGGGATTGAACACGCGACCTCCAGGTTAGCCAGCCAGTGTCTTACCCACATGGCCACCATGTCTCCGCTACCCAATACCCGATAAAAACAAATAATACCATAGTTACAATTTAGGTCATTCCATTGACTTTCATTTGATTCCATGGTCTGCTTGTTTGAGTTTTATCGCCTGTCTAACCTCGTGGGTTTTTTCTGGGTCCTCCGGTTTCCTCCCACTGCTAAAGACCCCTATGCGCAAGCGAATTATTGAAATGAAATTAAACCATATGTTAGTCCCAAAATGACCTAGTTTGTGTCGAGTGGACGTTAAACCCCATTTCTCTCTCTCTGTTTCAGTTTTCCTGATAGCCGTTATAATAGCCAGTGTTAAGTTTCACAGATATCGTAACAGTAGACGTACAGTGGATGATGAAGTTCGACCTCTAGCCACGTCTGGTCAGCAGATATACACTGGTTTATAGCAGAACCAAAAATATGTTACAAATACTCAAAGAGAACAAACACATCGGTCTGAATTTAATTTGGTTATTTAATTTACAGACTTAATTCTATAGATAACAAATAATCGATTTATTCGCTTCGTTTCCATTTAGTGATGCGACAAGTAAATATATACAAATTTCATTTTTTAGATTAACAATTTTACGTTTCATTTTTGGCTGACCTGTTATCATTACACGAGCGTAAAATTTAGAACAAATTAATATGGATTGCCACTTCATATAACACTGTAATCTGGGTATCAGTTAATCTTGTGTATTTAGCATTCATTTCTTTTACATTCGTTTAATATCAAATCTTTGTTTAAAAATTCGTAAAAATCGTTTAAAATCACCCCAAATCATCTAATTTGTACTTTTGTCCAATTTAAAGCTGGCTGATTAATTTTGATAATGATTTTTGGTGATTTTAGATGATTTTAACGAATTTTTAACAAAGATTTGATATTGAATGAATGTGAAAGAAATTAGTGCTAGACACACAAGATTAAATGATACCCGGATTACAGTGTAATTAGTCAACAGATAAAATTCTGTCCAATATGAAGAGGTTAGTGCTATTTTAAGGTGACTTGATTTGACTATGAAATTAGGTCAGATATCAATGAGTCAGGCCTGGAAATAAGGCACCGGTCGCAGACAATGTCAGGCACAGATTCAGGCTTTGTCAGGCACAAAATCTCTGGTGCCTGTCATTTTGTCCGGCACTGATTTGTCTTTTTTTATTGATATTATTAATACATGTCTGGCACTAAGTTGAAAATGGCAGGTGCATCTAAAACCGTTATTTACGGGCTGCTTTGAGATAGTGAATTCCTATAATAATCATAGAAAAAAAAGGATAAATTTATAACCTTGAACTTTGACATCAAGCTATGAAAACTATCAGAGCATAAAATGAAAGCATCTATCTCACATTAGTTTTTTTTTTAAGGCTAGCTCAAGAACCAGAATATCTATTTTTTTCGCTATGGCCTTATTTTAAATTGTCTATATGAAATACAATCTGATTAAAGTAAAGATATATATTTCTATTCGTTTATACTTTTGATGGCCAACACTACATGAAGATCTGACCAGTTGTAGTGGACAGTCGCGTCAGGGGTAACAGGTCACATGAGCGGTTTTTGGCCTTATGACATCAGATATTTGATTAACCAATCAGCGTTGATGTTTCTAGTGGGTTAGGCTACCCACAGTTCCGTGCACCTCACGCCAAAACTTGCCGTAAAAGAATGTGGGTTATATAACAACTCTTCCAGATCCTAGTGTAGTAAAGACAAGTAAAACAAAATATTGAACTATACAAAAAGAAATGAAATAAGATTGTGTGAAATAGCACATATTAGTTTATGGACAATTTGCTTCTTGTTATAATATTTATGTATACACAGTATATTCTAGTCAGTAAGGGGCTCACGATGGCTCAGTGAGTAAGACTCTGGCTCGCTAGCCTGGAGGTCGCGGGTTCGCTCCCAGTGTTGGCTGAGAAAGTTTATCGACGTGGTTTCACTGTGTCATCGGTGCGGAAAGTAGAGTTTGATAAAGGCAGCTGTCTAGTCATTCAGATGTGACGATAAACCAAGGTCCTGTGTCCAAATTGGCGTGCACGTAAAAGAACTCTTGGCAGTTGGAATTCAATATAAGAATAGGCTGTAGCGCTGCTGTCCGGGCAAAATTTCCCCTCGAAATGAAATGAAATGAAATGAAATGGGGTTTAACGTCCTACTGTTCTGCTCCTAACCTGGGCTAATGAAGACGGGCATACGCCATACAGTGTGCTATGAGGGAAATTTTGCCCGGACAGCGGCACTACGGCCTACTCTTATATCGAATTCCAACTGCCAAGGGATCTTTTACATGCACGCCAATGTGTACACGGGACCTCGGTTTTTCGTCCCATCCGAACGACTAGACAGCTTTCCTTGTCAGCCCCTCCGTCCTGCATCACTGACAAAGGAGAACCACGCCGGAAAATCTGGATGAACTTTCTCGGCCAATGCAGGGATCAAACACCCGACCTCCAGGCTAGCGAGCTAGCGTCTTACCCACTTAGCCACGTGATCCCCAAATTTCCCCTCATAGCAAACTGTATGGTTTATACCCATCTTCATTAGCCCAGTCGAAGCAGAACAGTAGGATGTTTAACCCCCATTTCATTTCACAGTGTTCTGGTATCACTGTGACTTCAGATCCTTATATTTCTGGTTAGTTACGATCTGAAGTCATGTTGATAGCAGAACATTGTGAAATGAAATGGGGTTTAACATTTGAACTGAACTTTATGGACCAACACTGGGATCGAACATGGTACCCTTAGATTAGCGACCCAATGTCTAACTGAGTAACATGACTCGCAAGGAATTTCTATCACATGGTTGAAATCAAATTGTTTGCAGTAATTTTCACACAAATTGGAATCAGATTTATAAAATATCTGCTATATGTGGCTGATGAACGCCAGCCAGATGAATTATTTGCCCCTGATTTTGATTATCTTAATTATGTGAATATGAACTACTTTGCCCCAGCTTTGTTATTTTTGAAACAGATTTTACAATCAACTGAGCACTAGGTATTTAATTGTGATATCGGCCTATAAGTAGCTTTATATGTAGGGTTTACTTTCTGTGCTAGAATCATCCATCATGCTTTATTTAAATAATCATGGCCACACAAATTTGTATTTTTGTACTGTTTGATCTTCTGTTTCTCTTGGAGGGAAAACAAATTATTTTAAACCAAAGTGTAGCTGGTTACACCTCTCAATGTTGTATCTAATGAGAATAGTGTATTAAAAAAATCCCCAAGAACAAAAATTAAAAATCGGGTTGGTGAAATAGTCTGTTGACACAGTAATACGCTTTGGATTGTTGCTTTTATTTGTTATTATCTTGGAACAGTTTGCCTAGTAATCAATTTGATTTGTTGCTTCATTTGTTATTATATTGGAACAGTTTGCCCAGTAATTGATCTTGCTTGTTGCTTCAATTGTTATTATATTGGAACAATTTGTTATAATATTGATATAATATTTATTTTTATAAAGTGATGGTTCCTATTCACAAAAACTTCCACTAAAATATTTGAATAGTAGAGAGGATTTATTGGCTGAGTACTGAAATCATCGTACAAATTGTCACTGTTAAACAACCTAATGGCTGTATTCTTAATATATTTTACTCAAAGTTGTCTTCAGGGGAGACCCCATGGGTTGTATTTGAATATTACCATTTATTTATGTTTTCCATGTTAAGACTATCTTCTAATCTGAAACATTCTATAGAGCTACTAGAGGTGTTTTGATGGTCAATATCTAATCTGATTTGCTATATTTACATGCAACATTTTTAGATTTCTTTTATTTTTTGCTTTCATCTGGATGCAAATCTGAGATAAAATATTTCACATTTGATCAGAAATAAAATTTCAGAGATTAATTTCAAAGCAATGTCTATAATGAAGGTCTATAAGTTGATAAATTAATTTACAAGTAAATCCAAAGATGTATGGAATGTTTGCTCTGTTCACAAGTATTTAATCAAATTTAGCTTCTAGATAACTCTTACTGTTAAAACTAGACTATAATGTATAACTCTTACTGTGAAATCTAGACTGTAATTTATAACTAATACTGTTAAAACCAGACTGTAATTTATAACTAATACTGTTAAAACTAGACTATAATGTATAACTCCTACTGTTAAAACCAGACTGTAATTTATAACTAATACTGTTAAAACTAGACTGGTGTTTATAGTGTCAAAACTAGACTGTAATGTATAACACATACTGTTAAATTAAAATGTCATTTCTAACATAGACTGTTAAAATAACACAATGATTCATAACATATACTGTTAAATCAAAACTGTTAAATCTAACTGATACTGTTTAAATTATAACTGTTTAAACCTGGTACTAATTTACATTCCATGGTTGTTATAAATTAGTTATTATCTCTTACTTTGTTCCGTCTTAGAGGTTTCCTTTATTTTTTCTTTCATTGATTTCAAATCGTATTTTCATATTTACTGTTTTATCAGCTATGTACAACATGATTTCAGATTAGATTGAACCTGTTATATATGTAGTAGTCAAGCCATGTCGGTTGGTTCAGAATTCAGAGTTCGGGCCTGGTGTTAATGATATGTTTAAACCAATACTCTCCAATAAATACTCATAGGCTGTGGACATGCTCATCTCCGTTTCTTCTGTATCCTCGTCGTAGGATGTACTTGGGAACTTCAAAATGATCGTCATTGGTCACTGGAAGGCCTGTATGTAAAGTGGCTCTTATAATTAGGTTGGGATATATCCTTGTTATTTATAACTAAAATGGATGCTGAATGGTTAATCACGTGACCTTTAGATCATAAGGTCTGTCCATTCATTGACTCAGGTGACATGATTTAGATCCCAAGGTTGTACTGACATACCTACCTAACCTGGTGGACTTTCTCTGGGTCAGCAGGTTTCCTCCCGCTGTCCTTTCATTAGCACAAAACGTGACATGTTTGTTCCATGGACAATTGCACACCAATTGACGGACGTCATAATTCCAAGATGGCCACGATGATGTCAGTTTAGTCTCGTCGTAGGCAAGAGGATATTTGTCGAAACGTCGTGTTTTTATAATAAATTTGTGAATGTTTCTGTTAATGACACTTAAAGATGCTTTATATAAGACTGAGATAAAGAGTTGACATTTCTCGCTGTAATAGATAAATACAAATAGATAATGTCTAATTAAACATATATTATGAGGTCACATTAATAATGATGTCATTATGCAAGAGCTAAATCTGACTATTGCAGGTCTTTCTTTAGGCCTGAATTGTTTTCTAAATTATTAATTAGACATTAATTAACTTATCCAGGCGGTAATCAACTCGCGATGGCATCGGATTTCTCAGATATTAAATAGATTAGAACAGTTCAGTCATTTTTTGATTTAAGCTAAAAATGGAGGAGCGAGACTTAGCTTCGAACAACTAGTACGGTGGTTGAAATTATTGCACACGTCTTGTCAAACCTTCAAAGGCTAATATCTTCGCTCACAATAGGGTAATTTGAATGACATTTTCAAATTATTCATTTTACATTATCTATTTTTGAACTATTATAGCAAGAATGACTAGCATTTTATCTAAATCCTACCTAATGTATCTTTAACATATTGAAACTTTCAGTGAAATTACTGTATTCTGTGTGAAGAATAGCGTAGTCTCGATTTTCATTGATGTCATTATTACAATAATAAACAAAGTCTCGGATTATCCAGTTTTGAATTTGGTTACTAAATAACGATCGTGTTTCAATCCATTTAAAATCACGATCATCCGATGGACTAGAGAGTTGATTATGGACTTGTGTCAATAAATGTCTAACTAATAAATTATATAACATTTCAAGTCAAAATAAAATCCTGTAATACGTAGATTTATCTCTTACATAATGTATGATTATAATAATAAAAACTTTATTTAATGAGACAACTTATTTAGTTTGCAAAAAAGACTATATACATGTAATTTCAGGATAAATTCAAAATCATTTGAAATGCAATAGCATTTTAAAGTGGGAAGTTTGGGAAGTCACTCCCAAACTACAAAACATATACATTATACAAGTAGAATATAGGAAGAACACTATAATTACACATAAAATAAGATAGAATGCAGTTGCAAGTTAAAAATAATAAGTTAAATATTATGGTTTCTTCAGTGCTCAATATAAATGAGTTTTCAGTTTAATCTTAAAATTTTCAACAGTTTTACACATCTTTATATCAATAGGCAGAGTGTTCCATCTTTAAGATAAAGAATTGTAATCACTTTTATTTCAAGATAACCTTTCTTTCCAAAAGAGACAATTTGTAATTTTATGTGAAATTGTATAAAATTGTATAGAATGATGTAAATAATATTATGTATCTATGGTAACTATATCTGTATTGATTGTTGATTAGTTTATTATATATATGTAATGAGTATATTAAAGACAAATGTTATTTTTATCATTAAAACAAGGCTGTTGTTTTTGGTATCTGAGTGTAGTGTTGAGGAATAGGGTCGAATGATTAACCATGTGGGTTTTCTCTTTATCCCTTGATTTACCCATCACCACCACTGGTAAAGGAAACGAAATGAAATGGGGTTTAACGTCCTGCTGTTCTGCTCCGAACTGGACTAATGAAGACGGGCATATGCCATACAGTGTGCTATGTGGGAAATTTTGCCCGGACAGCGGCAATACGGCCTACTCTTATATCGAATTCCAACTATGAAGGGATCTTTTACGTGCACGCCCATGTGTACACGGGACCTCGGGTTTTCGTCCAATCCAAACGACTAGACACAGCTGTTCTTGTCAGGCCCTCCGTCCTGCATCACCACTGCTAAAAGACTCCTAAAACCTACTTTGTGTCAAGTAGACATTCCAGAGCATTTGGTATTCTGCCTTTAATTTTCTCACTCTTTAAATCATTAGTCTAGGCCACATGTTAATCGAAACGTCAATAAGCATCAATCGGGAATTTATCTCGTGATGCCACACGACAATCAACTGGATTACAGCTGTTTATCAAAACATTGAAAAAATATGGTAATTTTATACCCGTATGGTTCACATTATTGACAAAATGTAAGCCCAGTTCTAAATCCATCTTAGATCCTACTGTCCCGACCGAGCGGTTGAAGACGGACATTCGTCCGGCCTGCGGACGTATAAAAAAAAAGTTCTTATGTTGAGTGGTTTGTGTAAGGCTGGCCTTGATATTATAATAATATACAGTGACACTGGTGAAACAAGACGCTGAAGATTCGTTTAGTGGATCTTCCACCTTGAATAACAAGGGGTGGGTAAGGTGCTGGTTAACCAGGAGATCCGGGGTTCACAGTCCCCCCTCCCTTGTCAGTGGTGCAGGACGGAGGTTCTGGCGAGAAACAACGTTTATATAGTCGTTCGAATGGGACAAAAGACCGATGTCCCGAGTACACGTAAAATAACTCGAGTAACGATGCTGGCTGGACGAATCCCGGATTCAACCGCTCGGTTGGTACAGAACAGTAGGATCTAAAATAGTTTTTTGTGCGTATTTGTACGTAAAATAGTTTTTTTTATCTTGTTCTCTGTCCATCTCTTGCATAATGTGGGTATATCTTGCATGGCAACGGCTTGTTTTGTAAACATTTCGATTAGAAATTTATATCATTCGTCGATTAACTATAATACTATTTTAGGCACGACAACCGTATCTCCTTGGTCTGTTCTTAAGGCTTAACGTCCGCTTCCCAGTGCTTCATTTATGGTGTGGGTAGTTGGATGGCCGAATGGTTAGCGTGTGAGCGTTCGATTACAAGGTCCGTTATTGAGTCAAGTGTTGTGGTTTCGATTCTCCGACTGTACGTGACAATGAGTAGGATCGCCTGTCCAACCTCGTGGGTTTTCTCCGGGTCCGAAGGTAGGCTAACCTTTCATAGACCCCAACGTGCAAGCGAATTATTGAAATAAATCGAACCATATGTTAGTCCCAAAATGACCTAGTTTATGTCGAAACCCCAATGCTCCCTCTCGTTCTATTTATGATAGTTCAAAGTTTCGACGAACAATAAATAAATTGAATTGATCACTGTTGTTGCGGTATGCACACTAAAACACAATTGTCTCCCTTACATCAGTGCCGTATTAGAAATTAAATGCGGGTTTAACGTGCTACCGGCGCAGTATTGGACATTACGCTTAGGTATATTAGAATCTATGTTACAGCTGTTCCGGGTGAGCGGGGTTGCGGGGTGGGGGTGGGGGTCATTTCGACGCTATATTCATTTCAATTGAGTAACTCCATCTCATTGATTTAATAAGGGGGTATTTTGCCCAGACAGCGTCGATTTCTCCAACACGTCTTTGAATTTCAATTGTTCAAAGTTATTGTAAATACACACACGGGTTAGGCAACACCATCACCAGCATGTTAAGTTGAATTGAATCTAAAAAAGCACTTCTCGACCAATGCTAGGAAGTTGAGCCCTAATCGTCGTTCCATCCAACCGTTAACGACCCCACCCAAATCCCCTAACCGCCATTCCACCACACCCCTAACACCCTAACCGCCGTTCCACCACACCCCTAACACCCCAACCGCCGTTCCACCACCCCTAACGCCTTCCATACCCTAACCGTTCTTCCACTACACCCCTAACACCACAATCGTCGTTCCACCACAGCTCTAATGCCCTCCGCCCCTCACCGTCGTTTCACCCAACAGCTAACGACCCCACCTCCCAATCCCCTAACCGTCGTTCCACCACACCCCTAACACCCTAACCGCCATCCACCACAACTCTAACACCCTAACCGCCGTCCACCACACCATAACACCTTCCATCCTCTAACCCCAGTCCCACCACACCCCTAACCGCCGCCTGACACCTTCCAGCCCCTAACAGTCGTCCAACCCCCCCCCCTCCATAACACCCTCCATCTCTTAACTGTCGTTCCACCATATCTATAACACCCCCAACTCCTAACTGTCGTTCCACCACACCCCTAACACCCTCCACCCCCTAACCGCCGTTCCACCACACCCATAACGTCATCCATCCCCACATCCATTCCTGTGTACCCGACAGTAAATGATTGCCCAAAACAATTCGATTAAGCCTAGAATTTAAACAAGTTGATAAGACTACAAGTTTAAAAACTTAGAAAAGTCTTCTCCAATACATATTTACATATTAAATACATTTACTTAAATGATATTAAACATACATTATGCAAGGTCTAAATCTGTCTATTGCAGGTCATTCTTTAGGTCTGAAATGTTATATAAACTATTAATTAGATATTAATTAAATTATCCAGACTATAATCAACTCTCGATGTCATGTTTTGCGTCGGATTTTCACCGGATTTGAATCCGATCTGCTGCTCAACGCTCATTGATGATTAAATCCAAAAATGGATAATCGAGACTATGTTGCTTTTTGTCTTATCGTACCGACTTTAGTAATAATGATCGAGGCTAAGCCTAAAATTCAATTGCCAATATCTCGGTTCAGAGAGGAGCAAATTGACTGAAATGTTCAGCATATACCCTTTACATTATCTAACTCAGTGATTCTCAACCAGTGTGCTGCGGCACACAGGTGCGCCACGACATCCTCCCAAGTGTGCCACGAAATTTTGAACGGCACACTAAGAAAATTTCTCACTAAAGAAGCCAGTTATTTGACTGATGAAGTTCGAAACCTTACAATGAATTAAATTCATAGAGCAGCTGTGTTTCTCTTTATTTAGTTTGAGTCGTACTATGTGTCTATGACAAATCTGTCGTCTATGACTTGCCATGTTTTTATTTTGCAAAATTCAATTGTTTTTTATACATAGCCTATTTAGCCAGGTGTGCCGTTGTGTTTTCATGTGTTCCGACGTCTGCCGCTGGCAAAAAAAAACAGTCGAGAACTACTGATCTAGTTTTTAACTATTATAGTGAGAACTGTCAGCTCATTATCCAATCTTACATAATGTATCTTTATCCAATATTCCATATTGTCCATTTTTTTATTGAATGAGACATGAAGAACCAAACAAAAAATAAAATAATAAAAATAATCGTAACGTGACATGCAAAATGGTTAATTAGGTAAAAAGACTTTTCCAATCAAACGCGCCATTTTATTCAAAATAAACAAACATCACTGACCTACAATTCGAATAGCTTTTGTAACGGATTATAATAATGTTTATTTTGAATAAAATGCGCTTTACCTAAATAATCATTCCTCTATTCTTGTTCGGTAAAGCGTATTCCAAACAAACTCGTCTTTTCATACAAAATACACAAACACAACCGACCTACAATTCGCAGGAGCGGATACAGGGAGGGGGGGGTGTGTCGACCCCCCGCCCCCCTGCTTAGCTACATAATTTTTTTTGTAAATCAACACTTTTTATGCTTTATCCTTTATCGTCAGATGTGGGACAGGATGAGCACTCAAAGCACGAGATAATGATATAGACATTATGTGATATCACAATTAATGCTTTGCATCCATGAAATTGAATCACAATGTCATTGTATTAATTCATAATAAAATGTGACGTCAAACGAGGTGTTGAATTTCTCTGTTTAAAAAGCTCAATGTGTATGTATCAACGCCAAAATGACGATAGAGACCATGCGGGGGGGGGGGGGAATACATTGTCTCAGGAACCTGGCAAACCCCCTCCTGCAAAAATTCCTGGATCCGCCCCTGATTCGAATAACTGATTATGATATAAATTAAAGTACATGAGGTAAATGAATCTTCTGTGTAAGTAATTTAATCATTCATCTATTCTTGTTCTGTGAGAGGTCCCGTGTTAACATTGGAATGCACGTAAAAGATCCCTTGGCAGTTGGAATTCTATATAAGAGTAGGCGATAGTGCCACTGCCCGGGCAAAATTTCCCTCATAGCACACTGTATGGCGTATGCCCGTCTTCATTAGCCCAGTATAGGAGCAGAACAGTAGGACGTTAAACCCCATTTCATTTCATTTGTTCGGTGAGTACATGTTAAGCTAAAATCGATCATGTATGATTTGCAGAATTTTTTTTTATCTTTTTACATGTGACTGTCCTGTAACTTGTTCAGCAGATCTTGAACAATACAGAGCGTGAATTGTGGAATTATTTCATATTGTAAATATTTACTGACAGGAATGTTTACATGGTTACATCTATTTGATAAGGCCAGCTTCTAGTTTGGTCAAAGGTCACGAGATGTAAACAGGCCTTGCGCTAATCCCAACCCTAACCCTAACCCTTGACCTAGCCCGATCTAATCCTTACCCGAACCCTAACCTACAATCTCGCCAACAATCACGGAACTGGACTTAATAAATAGATTTAGCCATGAATACATGTAATAGTTATTAGCACACTTTCCGAGGTGTATCGGTGAAGATCAGGACAGTTTTGGTCTTCAACGATACACCGAGGAAAGGTGCTAATAAGTCACTTACATCACATTTCTATCGA